GCACACACGCGCGCCTTGCAAACATAAAGTAATTCGAGTTATGTTATCATTCAATTGAGTCTTCTCCTTTCTTGCCCTCCTCAGCCCAGCAACGAAATTTCCCAGCCGTCGGTCCTTCGCTGCATCTGGTTACAGAGTTTAACTTTCGTTTCACTGGGCAGCTTTCCATTGGGGGTTTTTGACACTGAATAAATTAACAGACAAAACACTTTCCCTGTCGTTCTAATACTTTATTTTCAGGAACGTATGCAGAACTAAAATTATAAATTTTACAAAAAGAACAAATTTACGACTACAAAATCTTTACGTTTCACATAGCAACCACTTGCCTCTCTAGCGTTCAAACAGTAAGTATAAGTTTTCAACGCTCATCGAAACCAAAGCGAGGAATCGGACAGAAAAAAGCTATTTGATTTGCTGAAAGCAAAGTTGCAAATCATATTTTGGGTTCTTTCTGTAGAATGTGATTACTACTAATGCTTTGTACAATCTGGCGCAGTGTAATATTCGTTTACTATTTCTGCGTCAAGCACGGTATCAAAAATTGTAATATATCTTTTAAGCAAACATAGATAAACAAATCCAGGCGCTAGATGGGGGTCCTGCCCACTTCTGTTTAAGGCGCCCGATAGACTCTTAGTAGTGAAATGGTATGCAATACAAATAGCGATAACTTCTATCCACTTACATCCACTACATTGTATCTGTAAGTCACAGTTTGTAAATCAAAAGTTACCAAAATATTTTACCGGCTTGAATTGAACAAAATGTACAGTATCGTATCAATAGTATCCGCAGAAGACTGAGAAAAAAACATCACACCGTAGAAAAATTCTTATCAACCTAATTTTGCCAAAACAAAACTTAAAGTACTTAAATATCAAAATTGAATGAAATAGAAAATCTAAATGTTGAAGTTTGTCATCAACGACCAAGAAAATCACTAGGCAAAAAAAGAAAGAAAAAAAGAAAAAATGATAAACAACATTGATACCAAAGAAACCATACAAACTTAACTCTCCAAACTCTAAGTTGCGAGATCTAACAGTGATGAATTTTTCAACAATCAGTTGCGAGACAATAAAATTCAATGCCATCTCATGGATACTGAAAAAACGTAATATCGAGTATATAAAATCACCTTTTGACTGCACTCTTAAAGAGTTCTACATCTCTATATTACTTTACATAATTACATACTATGGAATATGTCAAACGTTATACAACGAGCTATACTGTATATCTAGTACAAGAAAATCCGACCCGTGGGAAAAAATGCACGACAATGCTTCATGTTTATAATAACCGCGAGCCATTGACTGAAAATTAACTCCCTTAACAAACACAACTCTTGCGCATAATATAATAAAAGTGAAAATATCTGACATAAAATCCTTAAGTTTTTAAATTGTAAAATTGCCACGAGCAAGCTAATCGTTTAAACGAAAATACAAAACTACACTGTAGTCATAATGGAAGTTAATTTAATTGTTTCGTGCCGTCTTAAGCAACGCCGTTGTCGTTTCAATTATCTCGTAATTTTGGGCCCATTTTACAGGTCTGTGTTTAGTGGTCACGCCTCTGAACAGAACCGAGGCTAGTCAACCCAAACCTCGATTCCAGGCAGAGGCTCGGTTACATTTCACAGGCCTGCAAAATGGTCTATTAGCCTTCTATTTGATATACGTCTTGAGTAATATTTACAAGAAAAGATGGAATCGCAAATAAGAAAACAATGCAATGCATGCATTCCAAGGCTGCTATAGCAAAAGGGATATAAAAAACAAAGCAAAATGTTCTACCCTGAACTGTCATTGACAAATTCTCACAGCAAACAGCGACAGTGAAAGTACCTTTACCAGTCAAGCACTGACCTACTGCAAGGCACAGCAACGTGCAAGCAACTGTAATAAATACCAAAGCCGAGCCTTGGAAGTTTAAAAAAAAAATAGTGATTCTAAGCACTGAGATTCTAACACTGAGTTAAACTTGCAGTAATGCTTTTTTGCCGTAGAGAAAACCCATTTTTGTTCCAACAAGTAGCAGTTGATAAATATAGTATTAAGTGGACCCACTGGGACTAGTTTACCACAGATAACGAGCACCAAAAAAGAGACACTAACCCAAAACACAGAGTTAGTTGTTCCTTATGCATTCAACCCACAATTCCATACAAAATTGGAGTTGTGCCAATAGCTAAACAATTTGGCCAGCACAGTCAGTTCAACAGCTGTTCACAACAGACAGTTAACAGTTAACGCTTCACATTACAATGCCAGAAGCGATAATCTTATAAATTCTTTATAATTCTTCTTGGGGGAATTACACTTTTTATCCCGGCGTTTTGCGAGTGACCATCACGCCCTGTTCACTGGAACTTGTTCCAAAACAGAGAAGGGAAGTTTGGACGTTAATCAACCTACAAATTTTTAACAACATTCATAACAGCCTTGGTATAAACATGATGCCAGCATCACAGAATTAATGATATTACATGTACCTCTCTTAGTCAAAAACACAAATTAACCTAAAATCATCTATTAATATAAAATCTTAAGCCTGATGCTTCTTAACGCCACCCATTGGCTGTAGCAATGGAGCCATCCAAGCGTGGACGCTTTGGGGCTCCGTCTTTGTCCATATCACGGTCATCTCTGTTAGGTGTGATTCGCCGCTGGACTTGGTACGGTGAAGTGGGAGATATGGATGAGCGAGAATTTGGTGAAGATGTATCTCTATCTGCTGGCTCTGCCTTGATATTCATAGTTGACATGCCTGGACCATTGGCGGAGTTGGGAACAGTAAGACGATTGCCCAGTAAATTGGCTACATTCCTTCAACAAAGAGCAAATTTACATTTAGTATATTAATTGCTTATATATATTACAATTCCAAAACAGGAACTAAATGTAGGCTTGTGCATGTTCAAATGGCCTCTGGCTATGTTTATATTTGGAGAGCTTGTTATGGGGAGTACATGTATTTCTGTACTTCCAGAATTGACTGCTCTTACATTATGATTATGGAATAATTTCACATCTCAAAAGTTCAAGGCCTACGTAAGAATAACATAATGACTTTGTTATTACGAAAGTTTCTGATCATGTTGTAGCAGCATAAAATGCAGAAGCTCTGCAGAAGGAGGTTAAAAGCCACAAGAAAAAACATAAGAACAGGAACTTAACTTCGGGGTGGCTTATTATGGATAGTTTGCAGACCTGAGATTTGAGAAGCTCATCATCTTTAGAGGAGCTAGGGAGTGGGAATTCTACGATATAGGAAATTAAGTTGTTCCAGTGTAGACACTCATGAAAGGATAGACAGCATCTTACCCTGCCTGTAACAATCCATGCATGTTACTGAGTTGTTGCTGTAGTATTGCCTGTTGCTGTATCAGCGGCAGAGCAGCAGCAGCTGGATACTGTGCCAATTTCTGGGCCAGGGACTCTGGGTTATCTAGAGCAAAATCAGCTGGAAACCCAGAAGGCAGAGAAGAGGAGAATGATGGCGGTGCCCCTGCAAGATTGGGCGTGGCAATGGAGAATATGGGTGTGGATAGGCTGGGGTTCTCACCCGGTGTCTGCAAAGGTAAGTTATTCAGAGAAATCACAGGGGTAGACAGAGGCGGATTTTCATGTCCTGAGGCTCCAGTTATGCCATGACGATTAGGCTGCAAGTAAAGAACACAGAACAAAATTAACATACATAAAAGGGAAACAGGATTCATACTACTTATCAATACCTGTCTATGAACAAGGTTTTGCTGCATTGAAAATAAAATATTTGGCAGGGAAGCTTCCATTACAGGACTGATTGACAAACATTGTTCTCATTGAGCATTATGTACCATGCTCAAAGTAAATGAAGTTAAATTATGACAAATGTACACTGTATCTCTTAACAGAGGAAGCCACATCCACCATAGTTGCCTAACACCTGCTAACAGAAATATCAAGACAAACAGATTCTTCTACATGTAAAAACTTACCATCTGTCCTGCTGTGGAACCTCTGTTAGGAATGTTAATCTTTAACAATGGCCTGTTGAGGCTGGGTGGAGGAGTGGCAGCTTGTGGGTGTGGAGACACAGAATTCCGTCCACCACCAGAGGGTGTGGCAAATGAGCCTTCATTTCCCTGAGCTGATCCAGGAGTTACACTTCTTCTGTTATATTCAGCTGCAGCAACAAGATCAGACATGTTTTGTGTATTGCCTGGAGAAAGGAAAAACGCTCTCCATTTTGAGTACAATGTTACCTTCCATGGCTATCTAATGTACAGCAAAAACTGTATTCTACTTTACTTTCCAACTCCCACCAGTTAAGGGGAACTGGAAAAGCACATAAAGAATAGACTGATTTGGCTGACGTGCCCACATCCTTCCACCCAATTCAGACCACATGATGATTCATTTGGGAGGTTAGAATTGTGCAATTTGTCACACACAACTGATTGCATGGGAGTATGTACAAACAGAACAATATAAACCTGCCGAATGAATCATTATATGATCAGAATTGGCTGGCAAAAAGGTAGCCAACCATCTATTATTGCTTGACAAAATACAAGATTATTAAAAAGGTTGTCTGTAATACGAAAATGCAAGAAAAGGCTGCAGCAAATTGAAGTGTGTAGAGCTGGAATCTGGTGTTACATTTCTGTCATGCCACACAAGCTGTCAGAAAGTGTACAATGTACTGTTCATCTGTGATTGAGATATATTATGTCCATTTATGTCAGTATAGAACATTATTGTAGGAATGTCCCGTGAAGAAAAGAACGCTTGGAAAACTTGAAAACATGAAAAGCACTGTTCTTTTTAAACATAAAACTAAATGTAATCCATCAACAGACTGAAAAATTTGAACCACCTTTTGTAAACTAAAAGCTCATGTACTGTATGTTGGGAAAATTTTGTCTTTTTAACTATCATCGCCTATTCTTCTTCACTACAATGTCGCATAGGGTGTCTTCTTG